ATGATAGGCTGAAGCAGGACATTTTAGATGCATTGAGAAAAGAACTGACAAAACTAAAGAAAGAGCTCATTGATGTAACTAGGCAGGATCTGAGTAGGTCAACTACTGCATAGAAAAGCAAAACAAAGAGGAAAAGAGAACTTTCATCTGGAGGGGGGAAAAGTCCTACGAACAACCTTCAATAATGATCTTATAGCTGGGGAGATAGCTTAGTAGAATAAGCGCTTGCCTGGCAAGTGCAAGGACCTGAGTTCAATCCCCAGTTCCGCAAAAAAAAAAAAAAAAAGACCTTATACAGTTTTATGAGTGAAGAAATGGAGACAGGCAGTCGGAGGGACCAGTGTCCTCTGAAAGCCTCAGACATTGTGATTCTGTGATCACTGTCTCTGTGCCAGCTGCCTCTTTCCAACAGGATGGAAGAGTGGATAAGCTCCTCTGAACAGATGCACCAAAAATATGAAGTCCATCATCCGGCAAGAACATCCTGCATTGAATATTTTCATGTTGAGATAAAGCCACGCATTTTATACAGCCCATGCTAAAATAAAGAGAAATGCTTCTGGGGAAAAAAGTACAGTTCTTTCTGAGATGTTCCTCTCTAAAGTTATTTCCATTATACTGTATAAAAGGCCATCGGGAGTACAACGTCACTCTGCCTAGGGATAAACAAATTCAGGCCCCTTTTGACAGTATGCCTAAGAACATAGGAAAAAGGACAGGGCCAGCCAGATCGCGCAGCAGATTAAAGCCAATTCTAGGTTCTTGCTGTGTGACATTTAAGTGCTCTAACACTGACAGGAATATAGCTAAGCACTATGAATGCAGAAAAGCTTAATCATTTCTAGGTGATTGCTGAGAATATTAGTTTTTTTTTTTTTTTAGCAGAATATATTGAGGGAAAGAAACTCCTGCCCAAGAGGACAGGAGAGCCCCAAGCAGTTGTTCCCATAGTCTGTTCTATTTTTAATTGATACACAAATACAGATCTGATAGGGCAGTGGAGACAGAAGAGCAGTTTGAAACAATTACGAGTATCAGGAAATGATGTGAGGTAGAAATGTTAATATTTTTATCTGTCTTGATCATGACAGAATAGAGCCATGTTTTTCTTAAACACGCCTCCTGTCCAGCCCCAAGATGACTGCTAGTGAATCCTGTACTTCACCCAGAACATCTCAGAGATGAGCCTTCTCTGCTGTTGCAGATGACCAGCCTAAACATATCTCCAGGCTGCAAAAACAAAAAACAAAAAAACTTCAACTGTTCTGTTGGATCATTTGGAGATGTGTCAGTCTTTTAACACCATTTAGTATTTCCTGTAGAGCCTCCATGCATGTTAAATGAATCCTATGCAGACCTATTGGAGAGATGGCAATTTCATTTAAGTCAGTTGAGGGAAAAGATGGAGAGTTGATCTCAGCTAAGTGGAAGTGCCAGTCACTTTATCATTTGTTACAGGTGCTGCCGTTGCTAAGATAGAATGACCATAGAGATAAAAGTCCAAAGCGCTAGTATCCCATCTGTACTCAGATGTTTACATGGAAATAGTCCTTCTGAGATACTCAGGCCAGAGAAGAGAGAAGCCTTCTGTCTTACTCTTCTCTCATTGCTGGGACAAATACCCGACACTCAAAATGAAGGAAGGGGCTGGTGAGATGGCTCGGTGGTCTAGAGCACCTACTTGGAACAGGCTTGGCAGAGCACAGAGACCGCGGTTCAATCCCCCAGCACC